AACTACACAAGTGAGTACTGGGGTTAGGGTTTGGAGTAGGGTCAAGGGCGTTACCTTGACACAGTCATAAGGAAATCGTTGACATGAACACAGGTAACAATGGTTCCCAAATCTGACTGGCAGTAATAGATACAGTATTCGCAAGGGAGGCGGACGAACCGAAGGGCAAGTAAGCGGATGTGCATAGTACAATTCCAGGTACGACCACCTTGTTTCATCCCATACAGACCTTTGAGAAGCTTCCACACCCAGTCAGGATGGTCAGGATCTTCGAAGCCGTGGGGTTGTTCCATATAGCATGTCTCATTGTCAGGAAGAAGACCATATAAGAAGGCAGTCTTTACGTCAATGTGATGAATCTCCCAGTTGCGCGCAGCGGCCAGGTGAAGAAGGGCACAAAAAGATTCCATACGCACAGTGGGAGAGGACGTCCGAGTATAGTCTTGCCCAAAGATGGCCACAAAGCCTTGACAGACCCAGTGAGCTTTGAAACGGACAGGGACATTCAGGTGATCACGCTTCAAATGGAAAACAGGGTGACCACGCATAATACGATGACCAGAGGGCACAGAGGACCTAGGAACAAGCTCGTAGACATGAAGATCACGAATGGACTGAAATTCGTCGAGTAGTGCAGTGCGCCACTGTGAAGCAAATGGAGAAGCCATGGCTTCGGCAAGGGTACTAGGGTCACCAGGATACTCAACGTCCAAGGTAAGAGCAGGAGGGACATCAGCCAGACTGGAGAGCAAGGCGGCAAGAGGATCAGAAGGTGCAGGTGGGTGGAGGGGGGGTAAGTGAGAAGTGCGGGCAGTATGGAGGCGAGAGCCAGCAGCCGCAGAGGCCTCAACAGCACGAGAGATGGCAGATGAGTAAGGTAGGTCAAGTGCAGCCACCCGACGTTCAGAAGGAACAGGTACCCGAGAAGAACGACGGAGAGGGGGTGGAACAGGAGATGGTAGAGCAACGGGAACAAGAGGAGGTGGTATGGGTGTCACAGGGGGAGTGAAAGATGCAACAGAGGATGGAGTAGGGGAGATGACCTCGGCGGCTGGTACCGCAGGAGGAACGTCAGACTCAAAAGATTCAATAAAGGAGACGTGAAAAGACTCAACAACCTTGCGAGACCCCGGGTGATAGCAACGGAAAGCCTTGGAGTCAAGACTGTAGCCAATAAGCACACACTCCAGGGAACGGTCATATATTTTAGGATTGTGGTGGTTCTGAATAAGAACGAAGGCATGACAACCAATTTCCCGGAGGATAGAGAGATCAGGGCGACAAGAATGCCAGGCCTCAAATGGGGTGGTGATTGGATGGAGTGCGCAAGTGAGAGCACGTACGGTAAGATAATTCGCAGCGCAGAGCAACTCATCCCACAAGAAGGCAGGAAGGTTGCATGAAGCACGCATGGCACGCGCACGATTCATGAGAGTGCGATGAAGGCGTTCAATGCGACCATTCTGTGCAGAGGTATATGCAGCAGTACGCCAAAGTTGAATGCCACGATCGGACAGAAAAGCCCGGAAAGCAGCAGAGAGCAGCTCACCGTTGTCGATCTGAACAGCACGAAGGGGAAGGTTGGTTTCAGTCATACGTGCTGTGGCCCAGGAAGTGAAAAGGCGGAGTGCAGCATCCTTAGATGGGAGGGGGATAGACCACGAGTAGGACGTAAAGTCGTCTATTATGTGTAGAGCGTACAGGTTTCCCGAAAGAGACTTTACATTGGCAGGTCCCATCAAGTCCACATACACTAACCCAAGTTGTTCAGATGAACGGACACCCTCCCGGACCTTAGGCACTGCGGAACGCGTCTGTTTACCAAGGAGGCAAGAGTCACATTTGGGTGGGGCAGCGGAAAAATCGATAGGCATACCAGGTAACAAGCCAGCAGAGGACATATCGAAGAGTGTGCGGTAATTGGTATGACCCAAACGATGGTGCCAGGTGACTAAGGAAGGACGGCGAACAGCAAGGAAGGTATGGTCAAGAGTGGGCAAGCGAGAGAGAGCGTATAGGCGAGATGGAGTAATGGGACCAGAGGCAATGAGAGAACCAGAAGGAAGGGAAACGCGAACACCAGTGTGATCAAAAACAACACAGTATTGTGAGGGAGAACTGCATAAGGCAGAGATAGAGAGAAGACAAACAGTGGCCTGAGGAACAAACAGGACGTCATCAAGGGCCAGTGTGGAACCAGTCGGCAGAGACAAAGAGACACGACCAATGCCCAATGCGTAAATTACAGAGCCATTCATGCCGCGGATACCACGTGGTGGAATAGAGCAAAAACTGACAAAATCGGATCGACAAGGGGTGAGGTGAGTGGAAGCACCAGAGTCGAAGAAGAAAGAGGGAGGGAGCAGAGTCGATTGAGGAGAGGAAGCAACTGCACTAAGAACAGAGTCATTCCCGTTGGCATGATCGGCCAGCCAAGAAGGCGATGTTGTCGCCAGAGTGACAATCTCAAGAGAGGAAGTAGGTGGAGGTGAAGTAGCGAGATAATGAGCTGAGCCATCAGAGTCAACGAAGAAAGTACGTCCAGCGGGATCTTTAAATGTACTGGAGCTGTAAGGCTTGTTGTGTTTCTGGTCACGAGCAAGACGTTTGCGAGCAAGGACCTCATCACGTTTGCCTTCCATTTTACCACCGGGCTGAAAGCAATCGTCGAGGACATGGCCCGTACTCTTACAGTTGGTGCAGGACTTGGAAGAAGACGGTTTAACTGGCGCAGCAACAAGAGCGGAACTAGCAGGAACAGAGGAAGGACCCAAAAGGGAACCAGTGGTGACTTGGTATTCGAGTTCCAGACGATTGATAATGTTGGTGGAAGTGTAAGGAGCGAGGAGGGATTGGACATGGCAGTGCTAATCTGAGACTGAAGATGTTCGAGATCACCAGACATGGTGTGAAGGAGACCAAGGCAGAGAAGAGCGTCCTCAGTGGGGAGACCAATCTTGAAAATATGCTCACAGAAATTCGCCATACGATGTGCAAGGTCAAGATAGGATTCTCCACGCACGAAACGAAATGAGAAAAACTCTTTGAGAAGCAAAAGTTGCGCATAGGCACCCTCATTATTGTGACAATGACAAAGGGCCGTCCAAGTGACTGCAGCAGTTGAATCCCGAGTTTCATGATCCTCGAAGAATTTACGCTCCCATGGTCCAGATTTGAGAGCTAAGAAGGATCGTGCCATACGGTCATTAGAGTACCAAGTACTATAGTTGAATGGGTCGCCGTCTTCATCAGGAGCTTTGGCAGCCCCTTTTAGATAGCCCGCAAGACCACAAGTGGCTAAGGAACGTAAGATCCAAGTTCGCCATTCAATCCAGTTCCCACTTGACTTATCCAAAATAAGGTCGTTAGCATAAAAGGCAGAAGGGATCGTTCGCGCAATGATAGTACGACCTTGAACAGTGGGAGGACGTCCAGCAGGGTCTTTCAAAGCTAATGGCGACAGTAAACTTGTGGACCCTTTGTTGGATGGTTGACGAGAACGGTTTTTTGGAGACGGATTGACCATGTTGGAAGATGACCCAAAGAGAAGGGAGATACAAAGATCTACCCAAAAATCGTGCACATATGTGGGCACGTTCAATTCCCCTAAGCCGCGATATAGTACTCTAGCTTCAATGAAAGCTTGATCTACCGGGATCAAGCGGGGCTCATAACCTGTTGAAGCTGTACTTATCACAGCACGCTTAGAGACTCACCTTTAGTGTTGTAGGAGTTGAAAGG